TTCATCTTCATCTTCATCTTCATCTTCATCTTCATCTTCATCTTCATCTTCATCTTCATCTTCATCTTCATCTTCATTTATATTTTTTCGTTTATAATTTTCGAAAACTATGAATAGTACTACTAGTCTAAAGGCAAATATTTTTTCTTGTTATTTGAACTCTCACAATTTACATATAGATATTTATAAGTTGATTTGGTAACTCTTATTAGCGAAACACAACCCGGAATTTCTTTGCACACGCCACTGTTATAGGACCCCTAAACCACACAAAAACATTACGAAATATCGGGCTTCCGACGAGCGTTTGTGTGGTGTATGGGGTCGTTTGTACTAAATTGCATAGTTATTGCGCTAAAATAAAAATTATTTTGATATTTTGCTCATGCTTGTGTTATTGTACAATAATTTGTGCTTCGTATGGAGACCACTGCGAAATTTTTAGTCTAGTTTTGATTTTGGTGTCCAGATCGTGCTGTAAAATATTTCTTGCACATATTTACTTGAGCAACGTTTCTTTGCGCAATTTTATGCGTTAGTAAATTCCACAATATTGGCTTGTACAAGTCTCGGGTTGCGCAGGGATTTTGTGTGGTTTAGGGGCCCTATAAGTTTGTTTTTTATTATGCAAATAAGCAGACAGAAGCAAGAAATTTAAATTTTTTTTATAACTATGGATTTAATTATAAAATTTTATTTATTATTTGTTTTTTAAATAATAGTTTAAAAAACAACAGTTTTGTTTGCTTTTGATACTTTTTCTGCTTGGCAACTGATACATTTTTTTCAAGCTCGCGGCAACGCTGATCACGATGTGTTTATGGCGAGATGTTAACTTCATGTTATTCATAGTGGACGTGATGTTAACTCCTCTGCTCTGTTCCGGGTCGCCATGTAATTCATAGTGGTCGTAATGTTAACTTCTCTGCTCTGGTCCGAGTTGTAATATTACGTCCGCCGAAGACAAATTAATTTGTATGTGGTGCGTCTTCTGTATACTGTTTATTCTGTGCTAGTGCTTAGCACGTTTCTGTAATTCACTATCAATATTAAAGCATACATTTAGGGGGCATTTCCGCCCTAACCATGCACATGTATGGCATTGGTATTGGTGTGACTTTTGAATTGATTTTTTCGCTCTATTTTAAACTAATTTGAAATTTTAAAAATTCCTGCACATCAGCGTCAAAATATCTTTCTATGATATACATATAATTGTTTATACCTTAATGTATAGTTTAGTCGTAAAAGGGGTGTAAAGGATTGCCTGTTTATATTTCATAATATTGTCGTTTTTAACAATCATCTGATTTTCAGGGCAATTATCTCGCCTGACAAAGTTTCACAGGGCAGAAAATGTGCCTTTTTTGTCTTACAGGAGTGTGACATTTTAAGAAACGACCGCAAAATTTTCTCACCCTTTGCCTTTGATTTAGAATCGAACACGAAAAAAGAAAGGGGCAATCAAAATGCGACATTTTTGGTAGAAACGAAATCACCATTAATTTTAAAAGGTGTCGGTGAGCGTTTGAAAATTTCCATGTAAATAACATGTAAAAAATTAGTTTTACTTAAAAATCTTATAACTATTATTGAACCGTTTGAGGTAGGCATATTCTTTCAGGGCATTCAATTCTCTAAAAAATGACCCTGAAGTTGGTTATCTTAAAGATGATTAAGAGTATTAAATATGTTAGTGATATTGCTGAACGAGGTATAGCGTTGATACAAAATTATAATTGAACTTCGACAAAAGACGAAAAGTAAAAGCAAATTTTTTTGCAGGTAGTGCAATTTCATCGCCAGCAATATACTAAGTACAACATATTGAATTCTATTAATAAACAAAAAGAATATTAATTTTTTAAAATGCAAATATCTGGAAAATCTAGTTTCTAGTCAACATTTACTACATTTTTTGTATCATTTAAGTAAAATCTTTTTCATTTATTAAGAATATTTCTAATCATAAAGCCCTAAAACTGCATATTTTTGCTCGTTTTCGACTTTCATAGCTCATTAGTATATACATTTTTGAGTGTAAATGCGTAATCAACTTTAGATTAATTTTTTAGAGAATTTAATGCCATAAAAGAAAATTTCAAGAAACAAATTGTACCTAACACGGCTCAAAAATTATAATATTTTTAATGAAAACATTTTTTTTACATAATATTTACATGGACAATTTTAAATGCCCACCGACACCTTTTAAAATTGGAATAACAACTTTTGTATATGGGAGAAGTTTCTTCTCTTAAATAAATCCTTTTAAGGCCATAAATTCGTTAGGTTAGTTATTTTGGATTACCCTAATGTACATGTTTACATGTTCATACATATGTATACATAGAATACACTTTACGTCTTGTGCATACATATGTATGTGAGTTTATATTTAATTTTAACCTCGCAAATAGAGTAGAATACTATATCTGCTTAATGCTTTCTTGACATAACACGTTGCAACAATGATAATAAAAAATAGGAAATAATAATAAGAAAAGGTTAAAATATCAAAATTCACGTTTGGCAACGTCACTGAATTCATTGCTAAAACTATTCTTTTGTTTGTTATACATACACTTCAGTATATACAGGGTGTCCCAGAAGTAACGTGCCAAACTTTAGGGGAAGGTTGGTGGGGGGTGAGCTCCCTGATAAACAAAAAAATTTCAGGTAAAAGTGTCACCGTTTTTNATGTGTTGCACAATTTCAAAAAAAAAATCGTGCCTTATCATGTGTTTTCTTTAACTGCAACTACAAACCGGGCAATACTTATC